AGTGTTGAGATTTTTCGACAAAGGTCATTACTTCAGTGTGAAAAAGTCCAGAGCCTAGCTGAGATTCTGGGACTTTCCAAGCCATTCAATGAATATTTGCAAATGAATGATGGAAAGAAGGGAGGAAAGAAGGTAGGCAAGCAGGCAGTCAGCATTTGCCATTGGTATTTGTAAAAAGAACTCCTAGAGGTCACTTCCCAAGTGTGGGGTTTGGAGACTAGCATGAATTTCACTGTAATAGACTTTTCATCACTTCTTTCTCTTTAAGAAACAAGTTTGACAACGTTGCAGCCTTATTGGGACTAATGCTGTCTGCACACTCTTGATTTGACTGCTTCATCTTTAAGTTCATTAAGGAATGGGTTGCTATAGTGCTATACTAGGAATAATAGTGCCACCTAGTGACATGCCTAATTATTGTCCCTAAAATTACATACGACAATTTATCTACGGAAGAGACTACATACAGAGTGTGACACGTGCAATCAATAATCTTTGCCAGATTTCTACCCAAGAAACCTTTTCTCAAAATGTTAGTATATGATACACCTCCACATCTTCATTCAAATTTCTTTTTTTTTTTTGATTTGAGTTTGAGTTTCACTCTGTCGCCCAGACTGGAGTGCAGTGGCCGCTCCCGGCCACCGCAGCCTCGACCTGCTGGGCTCCGGCAATCCTTCCACCTCCACCTTCCGAGTAGCCGGAATTACAGGCATGCACTACCACGCCTGGCTGATTTTTTTATTTATTGTAGAGATGAGGTCTCACTGCCCAGGCGGGTCTCAAACCCACGGGCTCGGCAATCCACTCACCTCAGCCTCCCAAAGGCGTGGGATTACAGGCTGAGCCACCGAGCCTGGCTTCTTCATTCAAATTTCACAGATGATTTTTTTTTTTTTTTGCTCGGGGTCTCACTCCATCATCCAGACTGGAACAGTATCCCCATCACAACTCACTGCAGCCTCAGCCGCTCAAGTAGCTGAGATTACAGGCAAGTGCCACAACGCCCCACTAATTGTTTGATTTTTTTGTAGTGAGGAGTCTTGCTATGTTGCCCAGGCTGATCTCAAACCCTTGGGCTAAAGTGATCCTTCTGCCTCAGCTTCACAAAGTGCTGCGATTATGGGTGTGAGCTACGACACCCAGCCACCAGATGTTTTTATAAGGCCTTTTCACACCAAATTTTTCAGTCGTTTATATGTTTATATTTCAAAGACTATTTCTTATATTTTAAGAAATATCCATTTCTTTTTCTATTTCTGTGTTTCTTACATTTTAAGACATATCAACTTAGGAATGCAACATTGATATCATTACTACTTTTCAGGATAGACTATGTATATATATATTTTTTGAGTCTCACTCTGTTGCCCAGGTTGGAGTGCAGTGGCAAGCTCACTGCCACCACAGCCTCGACCTGCTGGGCTCAAGCAATCCTTCCTCAGCCTTCCAAGTAGCTGGAACTGCAGAGGCATGCCACCATGCCCAGCTAATTTTTGATTTATTGTAGAGACAAGGTCTCGCCAAGTTGCCTGGTCTTGAACCCATGCGCTCAGGCCATCCACTCGCCTAGGTCTCCCAAAGTGCTGGGATTACAGGCTGAGCCACTGAGCCCAGCCACGAATGCTTTAAAAACTGTTCCACAGGTTGGGCGCAGTGGCTCATGCCTATAATCCCAGCACTTTGGGAGCCTGAGGCAAGAGGATCGCTTGAGCCCAGGAGTTCGAGACCAGCCTCAGCTACATAGTGAGATCTCTTCTTTGCAAAAAATAATATAAAGTTAGCTGGGCATGGTGACGCATGCCTATATCCCAGCTCCTGTAATCCCAGCTAATCCTAGCCTGTAGTCAAGGCTAAAGTGAGCCATGATAACACCCTGCACTACAGCCTAGGTGACAGAGTGAGACCAGGACCAAAAACAAAACAAAAACCTGCTCTACCATGGCAAGAAAGAACTGGTGCTGTTTCCATCATCGTCTTTCTGGGAGGCGGGTTCTGGAGTTCTGCTGCTTGGGCTCACACTGCTTACTTCTTGTGTAACCTTGGGAAGTTCCTTCTCTGCTCTTGATGCTTCATCTGTAGAAAAGGGATAATAAAAATACCTGTCTCAAAGGGCAGTCGTGTAACGTGCTTAGTACATAGTAAATGCTCAGTACATTGTCACTATGATCTCACACACACGCACACATTCTCACTGTGATGACTGCAGTATCAATTGCCAACTTAGGAAATCATCACTATGTGATTGTCTAAAAGAAAAAGACATGAAATAGAGTTGTCGTCATCATCACTAGTGATATTTATTGGATACCGAAGAGAAACAAGGTCTTGACTCACGCACCTTACAATACTGGATTCCACAAGCTCTTGGCAGATAATGTAGATAAAGCAGAATGGTGTCAGGTAAACACAAGACATTCAGGCATTCGAGAAATAACTGTCTTTGTTTTTAATCTTCAAAACTTTCCTCCCCTAATTTTTCAGATCTGACTTTAAGCAGAGGAATAGAATAAGTGCAGTTACAATTTTGCCAGAGATGATAACATCGCAGAGTTGGATAGGAGGACCAGGAAAGGCACTTTACAGCCATCTCCCCACTACCTGTCCTGGCTGCTCTCCTCTCACTTGGACAAGGAGGCTATAGCCTCCTAGCTGGTCTTCTTGCTTCTATTCTTGTCCTTTCATCCCATACCCAGTAGTGAAGTCGCAGTTTTTAAAACACCACTCATGTCTCTTCCTGCCTGAAGCCCTGATTTCACACTTGACCTCTGCAGCAAATAACTCCTTGTACTCTTCTGAGTGCCTTTAGGGGGAGAGGGAGGGTCCCTCTGAGCCAACAGCCTCACCTTGGTTTTCACACGGGGACCCCATTCTTGTCATTCAGATCTCAGAGGCTTTTCCTGACACCCTCTGGCATGTGTGCACATTACTTCTGATACTGCCTGTGGATGGTATCACTAGAGAATGCGGCCGAGGGTGGTGTCCTTGTCTGTCCTGCCCTCCGTGATCCCCAAACCTTGCAACAGTGTCTGGCGCTTAACCGGCGACCCATAAATCATGGCTTAATGATGATCAAGATCGTCCCACTGTTATTTTTCCCTTTCCTTAAACATAAAGCAATTCTCCACCTGGTTTTGTGACACTCCATGGTAGCCTTAAGTTTCTAAGTGGAAAAAGGAGCCAACCTGAATTCTTATACATGTGGAACCTTGGACAGGAGCTTGTTTTGCTAAACTTCAGCTCTATTAATGATAAAAAGTAGGAATAATACTTTATGGGCCATGAGGCACAGTAATAAAGGTAAAAGCCTCTAGGAGCTGCAAGGCACTGTACTAGATCCTAGAGTCGAGCTGCTCCCTCATTCTAGATGATAAAAAGGAAGCCCAGAAAAGTTCAGTGATAGCAAGGGAACAGATTGGCCTACTGAATCAAGCTGTAAAGCACAAATGTTAAACAACATATAAATGTACTTTTAAGCAGATAAAAGTACATTACAATACTTTTAGAAGGAATAGATATTGAATGCTGGGCAATTTTTAAAAATAGGTTTTTTCCTTTGGATTTTTCTTAGTTCTTATACTGCTTGGCCTTGAGGATTTTAAGTGAGCTCACAACAACCTTGTCTATGTATTCAGTTCTTCCCTACAGTCTATATAATATGTGAAATGCTTTCAAACACACAACAGTATTAATCTTTTATCTTCTATTTTTTACCTGGGATAGAATTTTCTGAAACTGTTCCAATAATCAATTACCCCAAGATTATTTTAAATCACAACAATGACTACAGAATTATGTTACAATGAAACCGAACATTGAATCTTGACTCTTACAGGCATTTGGTGCTATTCACAGAAACAGCCTCATGGTTCCAGCAATACCAGCTGAGTTAGGTGTCCTGGGTTGGAATTCCAACTCTAAGTTACAAATAGAGATTCTGAGCCGGGCTTGGTGGCTCAGCCTGTAATCCCGCGCCTTTGGGAGGCTGAGGTGAGTGGATTGCTTGAGCCCGCGGGTTCGAGACCCACCTGGGCAACTTGGCGAGACCTCATCTGTACAATAAATCAAAAAATCAGCTGGGCGTCGTAGCGCGCGCCTGTAGTTCCAGCTACTTGGAAGACTGAGGCGGAAGGATTGCCGGAGCCCGGCAGGTCGAGGCTGTGGTGGCCGGGAGCGGCCGCTGCACTCCAGTCTGGGTGAGAGTGAGACTCCAACTCAAACAAACAAACAAACAAACAAAAAAACCAAATAGGGATTCTGATCAATTACTCAACTACTCTGAGCTCAGTCCTTCCACTTGAAATATAGGGATAATAAAAATCCATCTCAACCAGGCATAGGAGCTATGCCTGTAATTCCAGCACTTTGGGAGGCAGAGACAAGAGGATTGCCTGAGCCCAGGATTTCAGGGCTTTAAGATCAGCCTGGGCAACATGGCAAGACCTTGTCTCTACAGTAAGTGAAAAAAATATATATATATATTAGCCAGGCACGGTGGTACGCACCTGTAGTTACAGCTACTTGGAAGGCTGAGGTGGAAGGATTGCCTGAGCCAGCAGGTTGAGGCTGCAGTAGCTGTGAGTGTACCACTGCACTCTAGCCTGGGAGACTCCTACGCAAAAACAAAACACACCTATCTCACAAGGTTGCTGGAAGGATTCAGTGAAAATTGCATATGCACAATGCCCTATACATAGTAAATGTTTAATAACTATTCCTCAGAATTTTGCCTCAACTTCTTAGAATCTTAGATCAATACAATGTTTAATGTTTCTCCAAATATATCCTATAATAGTTTAATAGTTTAAACATCTGACTCATTAGAAGCATGAAAAAACAGAAGCATAATGTTAAAGGATACTTGAAAGTTCTGAAGAACACTGTCCCATGTATGTGAAGAACCAATTTTGCCAGAAAATCTGAATTATATAAAGTTTGAAACTTGAAAAAATGACCACACCCACCTACCAATCATTTGTTTTACTTGCCATTACATTGCATTTGAGTCAGCATAATCTTTATTTCAAAATAGCATTTTTATTATATAAAAATGTAAAAATCCAGCAAAACCAGAAATACGGATATATTTTCCTGGGCTTTCACATTTGTTGATTTTTATTCACGATTTCTTTTTCAATACAATTTACAACCTCATCCCCATTTCCAGTCTGATTATACAAGTGCTAGGTGGCAGAAAAGTCTAGAATAAATACACCAAAAAAAGAAAAAAAAAGCAAAGCTGTGAAACTTAAGTTGCATGCAACAGGTTCTATAAGGACAGGGGGAGTGTCTGAAAAATAAAAAAGAGAGTAAGACAACGTAACTGGAAGGTTTTAGCTAAAGTTCTTTCAGTCATCTTTGTCTTTCGCTCCGTGTTTAAGGATGCGCGTGAACTCGATGTAGTTGAAATTCCCCTTTTTGTCGATAGGTGCTTCTCTGTACAGCTCGTCCACTTCCTCGTCTGTGAACCGGTCCCCCATGGTTGTCAGCAGCTCTCTCAGGTAATCTTCCTGGATGGTGCCTGAAAGGCAACAGAAAGAAGAGAGTCAGAAATACTTCCTGGCACTTCAATGGTTCATTTCATAGTCTAGCCAATCTTACAAAATATTTCAGAATACTCATATCTTCATAAACAAAATAAATATGTGAACTAAGGCAATAGATAACAATATCACTGTGTTTTCCAAATACTTTGAGTTCTTTATTAATATATCAAATCATTTAAAAGCTCAGAAATAGATCATATGCTTTCAAAATTAGTCTTAAGCAAGTATGTTCTAGAGGAAAAGAAGATACTTGCATATGCATGTCTATTGCAGCATTATTCGCAATAGCAAAAACATGGTACCAACCCTGCTGTCCACTGAAAGTGGACTAGATAAAGAAAATGTGGCCAGGCTCGGTGGCTCAGCCTGTAATCCCGCGCCTTTGGGAGGCTGAGGTGAGTGGACTGCCTGAGCCCGCGGGTAGCATCTCTACAATAAAGAAAAAAATCAGCTGGGCATGGTAGCGTATGCCTGTAGTTCCGGCTACTTGGAAGGCTGAGGTGGAAGGATCGCCGGAGCCCAGCAGGTCGAGGCTGCGGTGGCCGGGAGTGGCCGCTGCACTCCAGTCTGGGCGACAGAGTGAGACTCCGACTCAAAAAAAAAAAAAAAAGAAAATGTGGCACATATACCTGATGAAGTATTGTACAGCCATATAGAAGGACAAAATTATGAACTCTGTAGCAACTTGGATGTATTCAGAGCCCATCACACTCAGGGATCTATCACAGAAACAATTGAATTCCACACATTCTCACTCGTAAGTGGGTCCTAAACATTCATCACAATTCTACAAGAGAGGGATCAGCAGTGGCAGGACACTGCCAGGGAAGCGGGGGGCACACATAACACCACTAAGTGTACCTGATCCTAAACCAGGGGAAGTGAGGACAAGTGGAGGCCCAAACTTCACCTGTACATAGACCACTTACATACCTAATCCTGACTTCTAACCCTCATCTATACATTAAATAAACAGAAAGAAAGAAAAAGGAAGGGAGGGAAAGAAAGGAGGAAAGAAAACCCTCCTATTTCAGAGAAGTGCTCCATATAGTCTGGAATGAGGTTTGGCATAAACAAATGGTACTCACCTGTTGCTTCTTCATCAAAGCAAGCAAAAGCATTTCTGATGACATCTTCAGGATCGGTGCCATTTAACTTCTCACCAAACATGGTGAGGAACATGGTGAAGTTGATGGGGCCTGGGGCCTCATTCATCATGGCATCAAGATAGGCATCAGTGGGATTCTTCCCTGTCGGAATCCACATTTCAACATTTAAGGACAAAGAACTAATTTCAATAAATAGTTATGTTGCTATTCTCCCCAACATATTTTTAAAATTTATATCATGTTCACTTACATTAATTTGTCAATTAACTTTCACTAAGAACATGTTAACAATTTTTGACAACTTAAAAAAATCATTGACATATCATTATAAAAATACAATCTGGGCCGGGTTCGGTGGTTCAGCCTGTAATTCCAGCACTTTGGGAGGCCGAGGTGAGTGGATTGCCTGAGCCTGCAGGTTCGAGACCTGCCTGGGCAACTTGACAATACCTCATCTCTACAATAAATCAAAAAATCAGCTGGGCGTGATAGCACGCGCCTGTAGATCCAGCTACTCGGAAGGCTGAGGCGGAAGGATCGCCGGAGCCCAGCAGGTTGAGGCTGCAGTGGCCGGGAGCAGCCATTGCACTCCAGTCTGAGTGACAGAGTGAGACTCCAACTCAAAAAAAAAAAAAAAAAAACTACAATCTGGGCTCAGGTGGAACGTTGTTTATTCACTGGTACTCTATGTCAACTTTCTCTTATTTTCATTTAAAACAGAAAAAAAACAAAAGCCCAAAATCAGGTAATATAACATTATTACATCTTGAATGTCAATAATGTTAAAGGTCCTTCAAGGGAATTATTTCAATATGAGTTATTAAAAAAATCTAAATTTTCTTATTTCCAATTTTGGTACAGTTGCCCATGAGTTGTATGCTTCTAATTTGTATTTATAAGTTGGTTATTTAAGTTAAAACTATTAGGTTAGGTTAGAATTGGGACCTCATTTTGAATTCTGAACAATGTTAAATTAGATGGTCAGATATCTCCAAATGCTATTTATACATGTTGCTGAACTGTAGTCTTATTAATCGACTACTGTTAGTAATGGACAATCTTAATCTCAGTTCCAACTGAGAACACTTCTCATACTTCTCCTGTTTTAGTGCAGTGGTGAGGGAACTCCCCCAGCTGTTTCCTAGGAGTTGGGAGAAATCCCCCTGGAATGGCCAGACATGATGGGAGTGTTTGTGGGGGCCCCATGGTTTAGGGAAAGCAACACTGAACAAATAATCTGAATACTGAGTTTGAATCCCAATTCTACACTGCCTGTGTGACCTAGGAGATGGCAGAACCAGGATTTAAAACCAGTATTCTGGATCCTTTAGTACAGCTCCTATCTAGGGTTTACTTTTTAAAAAGTCTGTAAGCTGGACACGGTGGCTCAGTCTGTAATCCTAGCACTTTGGAGGCCAAGGTGAGTGGATTGCCTGAGCCTGTGGGTTCGAGACCAGCCTGGGCAACTTGGCGAGCCCTTGTCTCTACAATAATAAAAAATAAGCTGGGTGTGGTAGTGCACGCCTGTAGTTCCGGCTACTTGGAAGGCTGAGGTGGAAGGATCGCCAGAGCCCAGCAGGTCAACACTGGGGTGGCCACGAGCGTGCCACTGAAATGCAGCCTGGGCAACAGAGTGAGACTCCAACTCAAAAAATTAAAATTAAAAAAATTAAAAATTGGCCGGGCTCGGTGGCTCAGCCTATAATCCTGTGCCTTGGGAGGCCGAGGTGAGTGAATTGCCTGAGCCTGTGGGTTCAAGACCTGCCTGGGCAACTTGGTGAGACCTCATCTCTACAATAAATCAAAAAATTAGCCGGGCGTGATAGCAAGCGCCTATAGTTCCAGCCACTTGGAAGGCTGAGGCGGAAGGATCGCCGGAGCCCAGCAGGTAGAGGCTGCGGTGGCCAGGAGCAGCCACTGCACTCCAGTCTGGGCGACAGAGTGAGACTCCAACTCAAAAAAAAAAATTAAAAATCTGTAAAATGGACTTCAGTTAGCATCTTAAAGGTCTTTCCTACATTAAGTTTATATGATTCTATAGGAAAACAACATCAATTAGTCAGATATGCATATCTAAGGAAGCTTCTCAAAATTATACCCAACTAAGCGCTAGAATTATTGTTCATGTGTAAGTTTTTTGTTTTTTTGGTTTTTTTTGAGTTAGGGGTCTTGCTCTTGTCCAGGTTGTAGTGCAGTGGCACGATCACAGCTCACCACAGGCTCAAACTCCTGGGCTGAGGCGATCCTTCAGTTTCAGCCTCCCAAGGAGCTGGGACTATAGGCATGTGCCACCACACCAGACTATTTTCTAATTTTTTTTTTTTTTGTAGAGATGATGTCTCACTATGTTGCCTGAGCTGGTCTCAAACTCCTGGGCTCAAGCAATCCTTCTGCCTCGGTCTCCCAAAGTGCTGAGACTACAGGTATGAGACACTGTACCCGGCCAGTCTTAATCCTGGGAATTTGGGCGAACTATAAATACCATGTTGGCATCTATTTTCCTGCATTTGCAATCCTACCTGTCTCTACCAATTCAACGATAAACCTACTCAATGTACTAATATAAAAATTAGGGCTGGGTGCAGTGGCTTATGCCTATAATCCCAGCACTTTGGGAGGTGGAGGTCAAACGATTGCCTGAACCCAGGGGTCAGAGACCAGCCTGGGCAACTTGGTGAGACCTTGTCTCTACAATAAATAAAAAATTTAGCCCAACATCGTGGCATGTGCCTATAGTTCCAGCTACTTGGAAGGCTGAGGTGGAAGGATGGTCTGAGCTCAGCAGGTCAAGGCTGTGCCACTACACTCCAGCCAGGGCAACAGAGTGAGTCTCCAACTAAAAAAAAAAAAAAAAAAG